ATGTTACTCGTTTTGCGCCAATCATAGATTGAATGTCCAACATAACCAAAATATATCCCCACAAATACTATGAGTTCACAAATACTACGAGTTGGGAAGTCTTTCTCCTGTAGGATGTTATCTCCTAAAGGCATGATTTCTGTTTTTTCATCATTAACCTTTCAGCCGGAACACTCTATAAAGAGTTGAGAACACGAAACAGATTTGTATAAGATGTTTTGTCTTTCATGACACAGGTCATACTATCTGCAAATAGAGACAGTTTAATCATTTCTTCTCCAATTTTAAGCCCCTGTACATTGCAGTCCTCTCTTACTTTTATAGCTATGGTCTCAAGCGCTAGTATGAAGAGGTAAGGGGAGAGTGGATCCCCCCTGTCTGACACCTCTACCTAGTTAAAAAGGACCTGTCGTAAAGCCATTGCTCATTACACAGCTGGATGCATTTTTGCACAGAACACGCATCCACTGAATAAAAGATGGGCAAAAATTCAAAATGTGTAATGTTCTGATTAGAAATTGAAAGTCTAATGTATCGAAGGCTTTTTCAAAGTGAATTGCGGTCATAAATCCCGACCAACTCTTCCGTTTGGTGTAATCTACAATATCATCAATCGTTCTAATTGCATCGTATATGGACCAACCTTTAACAAATACATTCTGATTGGGATGTATTAAATTTTTTCCAGGCGCTTCGCTAAAACTTTAGAAATAATTTTCGCATCGACGTTGATTAGTGATATAGGCCGCCAATTTTTAATTACTCGTTTATCCTTTCTTTTTTTTCAATTAATGTGATTATAGCCTGTTTTTGTGAGTTTGAAACTTCTCCAAACTCATAAGAGTAGTTGATGCAATCTACTAGAGGTTTCCCAATCAAAGACCAAAAAGCTACTTAGAATTCTATTGTTAGTCCATCGTTCGCAGGCGTTTTATTTTTTTGGAAAGGATTGTAAGACATTCATTATATTCTATCCTTCCTTCACATACCATTCGCAACTCTTCAGTCAAGGTAGGAACTTCCTTTAAGTCTTCTAGAAATAATGATGAGTGACTATTATTCTCTTTGTAAAGACTGGAGTAAAAGAAATCTAATTCGCTCATAATTATTTTAGGGTCAACTGCTATTGTTCCGTCGCTTTTTAAAATTTTCCGCAAACAACTTTTATTTTTATTTGATTTTTCCAAATTCAAAAAATATTTGTTGTTCTCTTCACCTTTTTCGTACCACGTTGAACGAGACCGTGAGTAATGTACTCATACAGTTGGTCGTATTCTGCCTGTAAGCATTCCAAATCTTTAATATTTCGTCTCGATGGATCGATGTCACACTTTTTGGTACAGTTCTGTAATTTTTCTTCCAGTTCGTTAACTTTAGTTGTCCGGTTCCGAGCTTTTGTTTTGCTATAATTTATAGTGAGCTGTCGAATTTTGTATTTTAGCAAGTCCCATAAGACACGCTTGTCAACACATCCTTACATCCTTCCTGATGTTTGTGTCAAGGAGATCGCAATAATTATTATCATTCACTAAAGAAAAATTAAACTTCCAAAAGCTTGGACCGCGTTTGCTGTCATCCATACCGTTAATCGACAATGTAATTGCAGAGTGATCTGATTTAATAGATGGTATTATGTCTACTGAAACAATGTCGTCCTGCAAAGAATCATGCCAACAAACTGACAGAACTGACAAAATGTCCCTCGTGGCATCGTATATAGAGAAAGACTAAACAAAATGAAACTGCCTGCCATCCACAAGTGTGAAGCAGAGATATGAAAATACTACACCTTATACGAGAGATGCGAATGCAGTGCCAGAGGAACAAAATGCAAATAACAATCAAGAAATTGATAAAAATAGTGAATCTGATGTGCAAGAACCACTGAGCATCGATACACAGGATGAGACTGTGGGCATTACTAAAGAAAGTATTCTCCAAAGATATGAAATAGCCAAGGAAACCCCAATAAGTCAGAGGCCACCAATTCCAAAAAAAAAAAAAAAAAAAAAGAGCGACACGCAAAATCAGTCATTGAAACAGCAAAAAAAGCAAAAAAAAACAAAAAACAAAAAAAAAAACAAAAAAGAAAAAAAAAGACAAAAAAACAAAAACAAAAAAAAAAAAAAAAAAAAAAAGAAACAAAAAGCAAAAAAAAAACAAGAAATTGAAAAAAATAGTGAATCTGATGTGCAAGAACCACTGAGCATCGATACACAGGATGAGAATGTGGGCATTACTAAAGAAAGTATTCTCCAAAGATATGAAAAAGCCAAGGAAACCCCAATAAGTCAGAGGCCACCAATTCCAAAAAAAAAAAAAAAAAAATGAGCGACACGCAAAATCAGTCATTGAAACAGCAGACAAAGCCATACTAAGCCATCAACCAGATAAAAGACCAATTTGGAAAACTGTGTCTCACAAACATCAACCATCTTGTGCCGGTATGCAACTGCCTCTACTGTCAAAGAATCACTGAGAATAAAAACAAAAGGGAACAACAAGCTGAGAAAACCAAACCAACCAAAATGGAAAAAGAAAATTGAAGGTGAAATATACAAAAGCAGGGGTGACGTATCTACGTTGAATGAGATAAAGCACCAAAAAGCACTGTTTAGCAAGCATAACATTAAACAAGAAAACCAATACCAACAATCACTGAAAAACTGAAACAACAACTACAAGCTAAAGCCCAACGAATCAAGAGATTTGAAAAGAGAGAGAAGTTTTTCTACCAGAAAAACCTTACCGAGAAAACGCAAAGAAATTCTATAGAGAACTAGGGAAAAGTCCTTTGAAATTAAGGAAACATAAAATTGATGAAGTAGAGAGCTTCTGGGGACTTGGGGAAACATCTGGGAAAAACCAAAAGAGCTACAACAAAAACGCTGACTGGCTCGGCCAAATAGAAACTGAGAATATTGAAATCAATCATCAAGTATGGCCACAAAACCCTAGAAGAAACAAAAACAGCAATTAAGAAAGCAAGTAAGTAGAAAGCCTCCGGTAACACTTTTGGATCAAGAACTTGCCTTCCTTACACAAAGACCTGACAAATGCTTACAATGAATGTCTCAACATGGTATCACCTGTCTGCTTCCCAAAACAGAAGACACCAAAAATCCTAGAAACTATTGCCCCATCACATGCCTTCCTAACAACCTAAAATATATTAACATCCATCATCACCGAGAGAGTTTACAGACATCTTGATGAAAACAACCTGCTACCCACAGAACAAAAGCCAGGGCTGTCGAAGAGGTAGCAATGGCTGCAAAGACCAGCTTTTAATAAAAAAAACGCCATCATCGAGGAAGTAAAACATAGGCTCGTTTAACATGTTTGAGCTACTTTGTATGTTTCAGTGTAAAGGAAATCAACAATCTACTTTTTTAATCCTAAAGTTAGACTATTTTTTTGTGCGAAATCGGGTATTGCTGTACATTAATGTGAGGGAATTCGAGTTATCACAGTAACCCAATAAAAATATCTCAAGCACACAATTTGCACGTGAAGATGTTGGACTTTGTCCCTTTTACAATTCGCATGTAAAAAAAGGCAAATTGTTTACCAGAAAATTTGTTCAAAACGATTTTAAGAAATGACCTCAGCTTTAAATTATGCTTCATGCAACGTTAAGGTTGATAGCCTAACATTTATTTACTTCCAAGAAAATTATCAAACTGCCGAAATATATTTCTACTCATATCATGTTGTTCCGCTCCATGAAACAATATCTAATCATTTTGTCAACTAGCTTCTTCCAATTGATTCCTAACGCTATTGTTTCTACTTAAGTTACGCATCCTTACTATATAAAATACCTTTCAATAACTATAATGACTCTTAAGCAGCAAGCATGTATCATGTTGTTCACTTAAGTCATGTTTTTTTCTTTGACGGAACGAAGAAGGTCTATTGAAGTTTGTAAGCGAGAGAATAAAGCTTGTTCACAGGATTATGACTTTATACAGCTTTCAAAAAATATAACCTGCCTTTCAAATTTCTAAAACCACAATTTACACACCGCTTACTTTCGAATTAAAGTCCATATCTAATAACAATTATTGTTTCATTGGAAGAACTTTGAAAAATGTATGATCTTTTATACTCTACCCTGAAGCAGGTGAAACAGAACTCATAATTACGAAATACGTGCGTTGTATCATTCGCGATTTAGCCCACACTAAAAAATGAACCTTTAAACAGCGGCATCACTGTACTCAGTGTTTGAATCACAAATATATTTTAATGCTATGCTTCTAAACGCCTTTAGCCGTAATAAAAGACAAAAAAATTGTGAAGAAGTAAGATGCCGTCTCAAAGTGCCCTTGTTTGACCTTTAGCAATGTCATGTTTACATGCCAAAACCTCATTGGTTCCTGAGCATCAACTCATAGTACCTACGCAAGGAATTCACTTACAGGACACTTGACTACATTTTTTTAAAATTCGAAAATGATCAGAACAAGAAATTTCTGTTCTCGCCAGGTTCTAACTGAAGGAAAATATAAAACACGCTCGAATTAGAAAGAAAGCGCGTCGATTTGTTCCTGGAACGGACGAGAGCAACTCCAGGATCTCGAGTATCCTTAAGAAAGAGGGGGGGGGGGGGGGAAATCTTGAAGGAGGTTTGCAAAAGCGGGCCAAAAAATTTTTAAGGTTTTAAACCTTTTACTAAAAAGACAAATTATCCTTTTTTCCCCCAGTTTTTGGGGGGTTTTTTGGTCATGGTTCTCTTCTAGTTTACGCGCCCTTGCTCTTCTTTAATATTATACTTATTTTTATAAAAGAAAGAAGAAAATAACAAAAATTGTTTTCTCTGGCCAGGGATTGAGAAAAAAAAAAAAAAAAAAACCACAAGATAAAAAAAAAGAGAGCGGTGTTTTTTTGGCAGGCGGGAGAAAAGAAAAACGAGCGATTTGCGTTAACAAAAGGAGGGGGGGGGGGGGGGGGGGGTAATCCTGAACGAGAGTTCGTCAATGCAGCTCAAACAATTTCTACGGTTTTAACTCTGTCATACAAAAGCAAACTTTACCTTCATCTCCCAAAGTTTTGGGAGACTTTGATGCTAGAGTGCTACTTGAAGTTAACGACCTTTTGCCCTCTTTTGACCCTGAAATTAAAAGGCAGATCAGTGATAATCTCAATAATTTTTTTGCCAGTGGGTACGCCAGCTATTGCGGTACAAAACGTGATTTTTAAATTTTGACACGAATTATAACAATTTCACTTTTATCACTAATGCAAAATTTACAGCCTAGAATCCATTGCTGGCGAAGAGGACACATGATCGACAATAAAATTCAGTCAAACTTATGAAACAATAAAACAAAATAGAATCACACTATTTTGGTTTGAAGTTAACGGCTTCAGTTTACTTTTTGACGGGTTACCAAAGAAACAAAGAGTAATGTTACCAGTCCACAAAAAATACCAATAATAGCGAGTACAGTAATTATCTTCAAATAAGCAAATTTAAGCACCGTACTAAAAAGCACATTGCAATTACCAGTTATTCTTGTCTTCTTTCAACTTCCCTCAATTCGAGCGAAAACATGGAGCCTTTTCTCGGCACTGCTGTTCTTGAGCAGCAAATATTTGAAGTATTTGACTTGTTTCAGACACAATTATTTCCCTTAAAGCCAACCTCTCTAGTAAGATTTTTGATATTAGTCATCGTTCTAATTGGCCCAATTCTGTCACAACGGAGTTGCGACTGTTCATGACGTTTCCTACATATGTTTTGTTTGAAAAATGCTTTCACATTTCATGAGCGTCAAGGCGTCTTTTTACTAAGTAAATCCGGCATATTATACCTTTTAAGGATATATATCTTGAGTCTATAAATATAACAGATAAAGACATACAATATATTTTAACTGACCTTTTAAGGAGATAACTCTCAATTCTTTGCTGGAAGGGGAGCTAGAACTGTTTCCTTGGCCTTTCTGTGATGTAGAAGCTTTGCAAGGAGGTGACAAATCCTAATGAAACAATAGAGTAAATCAATAACTAAATCCAGGAATCCATCTCGTTGTGGCCTCCATCTCCCATGCAAGTAGCCTCCCCGCAGACGTCCTTTGGGGTTCGTTTGTCACGCATTCATTTGAATGCGTGACAAACGAACCCCAAAGGACGTCTGCGGGGAGGCTACCATGCAAGGCCAGCATGTTAGATTTCAGACTATTTATAGATGTTCTTCGGCACCAAAAAAAACTTTAAGCCAAACAAAACAGAGTAAAATTTTCATTTGGAGACCAGCAGAGTTGTTAACTGAAGAGAGATTTAATCTCGTTGAGTAACCTTGGAAAGTAAGGAAAATGATCTTTTTTTCTAAAAGAATTACTCCACTGCCATATTTGATTGCTCAGTCAAACAATATTTACAGTACAAACTACTGTTTAAGAGCGGGGATAAAAATATTGTGGGATTTAAAACGGCCGCTTTAATTTAACGCCATATAGTTATAACAGAGCAAGGGAGTCCCTAAGTTGCTCTTACCGAAAAAAGAAAAAAACATATACACTAAATTAGAGAATAAAGCGTGACATTTGAGGTTTAGGTAGCAGCAACAATAGAGACAGACGCTGAAACAATACAACTTTTGTCAATTTTCCGTGTTTCGACGGTACATCCGTCATCATTAGTGTTACATATTTTGGAATCACCGCTGCATTTAAATATCGCGCGCAATATTACAAAGTTCGTTACATTGCGTTAACAAGATTGCGTACTTAAAAGTTTTAATAAGTGACGTCCTTGTATGGCATTTTCCAAGGCCTTCTCGGTCAATTCACTTTAGTAACGTATCCAAGGCGAACGGGCGAGAAACGGTCTCACTTCTTCGCTTGGAACACGTGACCCAAAATGCATTGGCCGCGCGGAAAAATGAGGCCTAGGAACTAGGCAAACGTTATGGGACTTACATGGAGAGAGTTAACGTGGTACTATATCTTCACTGCATACTCATTACCTCACCGCGTAATATTAAGTTATGGAAAAACTCCGCGACTGCTGAGCCAATAAGCATGCAATGAGGATGACACTAAAGTTGTCAACCGCCACCAGGGGAGGTGGGCGGGTCACGAAAATTGACCGTGGTCCCGGGGTACCGATCATTAAAATGACACCGTTTTTAAGGCACCACGGCCAAATTTATAGTCGAGGGGCGCAATGTATTACAACCGATACAAGCACAGATTGTATAAAACTAGGGGTACCTTCCGGCAAGTGCCAACGAGGCGAATTCGTTTATCTTTTGTGGAATGTGCCTATTCAGATCTTCTTTCATAATTTTAGAGGTTTAAAATGGATTCCGCTATAAAAAAAAGGATGTCACCCAACTTCAAAACAACAACTTTGGCACATTCTAGGCTTTCATATTATTAAACGATAACAACATAGCTTGAAGCTTTGTTGGTAAATATGAGCAAGTTAGCACTTATGTTTCATGGAAAATTCCATTGTATCAAAGCTATAAACGTTAGAAAGAAAAAT